AACTATCGAAACTAGAAAGTGAGGATACACTGAGTTTTGTAGGGTTGGATCCAGCATTCAACGTGGGAAGTAGTCAGTTCCTACAATCACGGTAAAAATTGTTTGGGAGTTCTTTCAAGTTTCAATGGGACAGCCTAACTGGGATTTACAAGTAGCTTGGGCATATTTATTGCTAGAGGGACTTCTGCTTAGACTCTGCTGTTAAAGGCTACCCATTAGAATCACTGAACAAAAAAGGGAGCAGTTGTGCAAGTATGAGGTTGGTGAAAATGTGGTTAGAATTGTACTGTAGCATGTTGTAACTGGAAGAGTTTAAATAACATAAAACAGAGCTGGATGGGAATGTATGACATAGAAATTTTGACCTGGGAGAGATGCTAGAGAACATCTAATCTGACCCCTTCATGGAAAAATATGATCAGAGAGAGCAAAGGCCTGCCTGATGTTTACAGAAAGCTGATAGCAGAGCTAGAACTAAAATGACCCAGGTCTCCAGATGCTCAGTCCAGGGCTCTTTCCACTGGTTACTTGTTGCAGTAACACTACATTTTTCAAGAGATGCTCAGGGAGCTGATTATAATTCTAACCACAACTGGTAACAAAGAAGACAATGTGAAATTTGATTTTAATTGAATTTAACAAGCATTTGTTAAGTGCTTATTATATGTGCAAAGTTTTGTTAGGTGCTGATTGAGAGCAAGATTGAAAACAAACAAAAATGCCCAAATTAACCACAAATCATGGCTATTACACCATTTTAGAATAACCATAATCAAGACTGTTCTGGCATATTTAGATTTCTATATTTATTCTTTCAATCTTTACAGATCCCATCATACTAATCTAGCTTCCTAGGCCCCAGTTTTCTTCTTCTGTAAGATGCGGGTAAATATTTCACGCCTACACAACATTAGATCTGCATTTAAAAGCCAACTTTTAATTTAAAAAATGAAAGAAACCTTAAGGTTTTAACTATAGGATTCTGTATAACAAACTTCAGAGAAGTACATTTGATATGCATTTATTCAAAGTGAATGACAGGAGAAAATAAATGACTACAGAGTGGCATGCAGCCAAAGTCCAAACTCAGCAGCTCTGGCTTCTTTAACATAGGAATAACAGCAACCCGGCGTGACTCTGGTATATTTGATCCTTACCGCAATCCCGATAAGGATTCCATCAGTCAAGGGAACAGGTGCAGAAAGGGACTTGCCCAAGATCTAGAACATTCCCTACTATCCATCCTCTATACTGATGCCAAAAATAGTCTTCCTAAAGCAGCGTGGTGACCACATCACGCCCCTGCTTAAAAAAAAAAAGTGACTTCTTGGTCATAAGATATAACACAAACTCCTTAACCTGACAATCTGGATCCCTCAACCTTTCCATCTCCCCTCTAAGAATTCTGTTCCTGACAAACTGGATTACTAGCTCTTTCCTAAACTTGCCACTTCACACCTCCAGCCTACTCCACGCTTATAACGCGCTGGTTCATCTCCCCTTCTCAAGATCCTTCCATTCTTACAAGTCTTCCCAGATCCTCTTTAGCTGTTAATACCATCTCCTCAGTTTTTCATGTACTGTTATTTGTGTACGTGTTTTCCCCCCAGATAAAATGTAATCTTGATAGCAGGGATTTTTTCATTGATGCTTTTGTATCCCTAGCACCTAGCATAGTGACCTGTACATAGAAAGCCCCTCATGTTTGTTGAATTAACATATTTAAAGGGCTGCTTAAAGTATTGTGCTTCTAGTTGGAGAAATACAAGAGCTTATTATCTAGCAGAGCTGGGTTGACTCTAGTAACAGATCAGAATTAGAAGGGATGTTAATGGCACCTACACTGTTGTGCTAGATCTTGAAGGGCATTCAGAGATAAGACAAGGTCACTGCTCTTAAAAAGAGCTCAGGAAGACTTTTGAAGAAACTTAAGAATGTCAGCGTAATCCTTGAATTTAGATAGGACCAAGACCATCAAGATCTCACACTACTCTTTCCTGAACATTTCTGAAAAGAAATATTATTCCCCTCAATGACCTCTACATTCCTGCCACACAGGAAAATCTCTGTTTTAGCCTTCTTGCCTCCCCTTACAGTTCCTCATGCCTATTTAATCTTCACCTGCCGAATTCCTATTTATTCTTTAAAGGAGGTCTTCACTCCTTACTGGTTTAAAAAAAAAAATGAAACCCAACAACTTTACCTTCAGGCTTCATGTGCCACTTTGAATAATTCTGCTCTAATGATTTTGAAATATGTTGGCTTAATCCTCTTAAGAGTTCCACGAAGGCAGGAACCACTTTTACTTTTCCCCAAAACTTAGCAGCATTTTGCATACAACTGGTGCTTTAAGAAATGCTTTAATTGAATGACCAAGATCAAATAAAGGTATATGTTAAGTACCTGGAAAAAAAATAAAGTTTCTGCAAGTGATTTTAAAAGCACTCACCACTTTCCCCCTCTCTAGTAACTTGAAATGGACTAAAATGCATTTAACCAAAAGCGGGTTTCTATCAGTAACACCGTGTTCCCATAGGTATGTTCCAGCACTGCATTGTAAAAGTGAGGAGCCAGTTTTATTAATGGAATCCAAAAAAACGTTAGAGGTGGAAACCTTATATAGCTAGTCCACTTCTCATTTTTATAGAGGCTGATAATCCATAGGCGAAGTGACCTTTCCCATGTCACACAGTGAACAAGTCAGGTCTTGAGCCATCTAGTGCATTTTTCCAAAATATCAAGGGACCAGATAAATTCTGAATCTTTTTTTGAGCACCTGTTATGCTCATAGCTTAATGCTAAGCTTCTAATGGAGTCACTCATAAACAGCAAATACCACAATATTTTTAGGACTAATAAGTATGCAAAAGAAGTATTCAAAGCCTTGAATGCTTAATTCAAATAGGACGGGGGACCTAGATCACTTACTGTAACCTTAAGCCTTTTTTTAGGCTAACAATCTCTCTTAAAATTTCCCATTTAAGCACTGATCCAACAGCACGTGTAAATTCCAGGGAGCAGTTCAAAGATTAGGTAATGCAAATATGGAAACCAGTATCCCACAGCCTCATAGCTCCTATCCCAGGTTCCATCAATATAAACTTAATTCCTTTCCTTCACCATTGGACAAAACTTATTAGAATCTTAGATTGACAGTCATAAGGAACAATTAAACATGTCAGTTGGAGGGAATCTTAAAGAAATCTCTTGTTCCTTGGTTTCACATTAGAAGAAATTGAGGCCCGGAAGGGAAAAGTGATGTTAGCCCAAGGTTTCAGTAGCAGAGCTGGGACTAGAACCCAGTTTCTCTGCATTCTCAGTCTAGTATGGTTACCCAAAACATTACCTTCTCAAATCCAGTGCACTTCTGCATTCAAAGTCGGATAGAGAAAAGTGTATTTATTTACTCAGGCTCCGGGGACATTTCGTTGTTTAAATGTTTTTATTAAAAAAAAAAAATTAAAGACCTCCATGGCACAACTTCTTCCCAGCACAGTTAGGTTTTTAGTTAGATCAATTACAATACAATTACAACCAAGAAATTTTTTTTTTCTGACTTAACTAAAAAAGGGGGTGAGGGTGCGCACTTCAAACAAGGTTAAAAAAATATGCTTTTAAAAAACCTTTAGAAGTAATTGCCAACAAAACTTTCACATATTGGCATCCAATTTCCTGCTATCAAATGCAACGCAGAGACGCAGGGAGTGCTGAGAAATGTGCTCCAATACAAGGTGTACAGATGAGGTAATTTACACACAGAAGTTGTTACTCTGCAAACCCTTGCCCACCTGCCCACCCACCCACCCCAGCCTCTTGTGTTAAACTCTCTTTCCTCTTTCCAGATTCATGCATGTGCAGTGGCTCTAAAGTAGCATTTTTTTTGCTTATTTATTTTTGTAAAAAAAGCCCATGGGTGGCATTCCTTCCAGACTTGTTTCAATTCCTTGTAAGGCTGATGGGTGTTAGAACCTCCAGCTGTTTGTAGCTGCCTTCATCAACCTCAGCTACAACTACATTTTCTGCACTAGGAGGAAATGAATATTGACAACTCTCCCTCCCCTTTTGAAAAAGAGAAGAGTTCCTTACAGTCCTGTTTAAATCACAATTCAGTGCAAAACCTGATCATGAGTTGCATCCCTGGCACAGTGGTTGGTGCCATCTGTTCCTGCACAAAGTCAACATGGTAGCTTTCACATCATTTTAGGGCCTAAATAGGTAAAAGTATAATAAATATTTACTCCAAGTGGTCATGGGGAATAAAAGTACACTGATGTGCATTAAGAATTTCTCCCCTTCAGCTCTCCCTTGGCTTCATATAGTGAGATAAAGAGGAGGCCACGATTTTCTCCTTTTAAGCCTTATTGCTCCTCCAAGTTCCAGTACTCACTACTTACTACCACTACTATACCTCAGTACATTCACTGAAGCAAAAATGGGTTATAAAGTTAGACAAGTTTATTAAATAGAACAATCCAAGCAACTGCTTACATACGACACTCAAGTGAGAGGCTTGTGGAACCAGTGAAGTTCAGGGAAAATAGACTTTAGGGCTACAGGAGGGATTGACAAAGAATTCCTGACCCTGAAAAAAGCAGCTACTGCAATGCGATAAGGGGAGAAAATCCAGAGCTGATGCTTTGTCATTGTGCTTAAAAAACTAGGCTTCTCCAATGGTGCACCCAATAAAGTTTGGTGGCTAGGTTACAGTAGAGAGTGTACACACACACACATACACACACACTCATACACACACACCACACATCCTTTTCCCATCCCAAATCCTGGCATGGCTGAGACACAAAAGGAGTTTTATGGCAAAGGATCCTTATTCCCCAACGTTTTGGCTTGATGTTTCTAGAAGGCTTCTATGCACTGCCCAGGATCATTCAGAGTGGGTGAGAGAATAGAAGAGGTTGCTTCCCCCAATCCATAAAGGGCTGGCTGCAGGCCCCTTCAGTGTAAAGTGACACACCCATCCAGCAAGATCTTTACACAGGGACTTAAATCTAACCTTGATAAATAAAACCAAACGTTTATTTACACCAAAGAATTCCAACACTGGATCTTTCACATAGGAAGGACAAAGTAGTATATATATATACACACAGCAAGGAATGTGGAGCAGGGCTGAAATAAGGGTGCTTTGTCGTTGTCAACGGTTAATATTGTTCCACAACTACAGATCTACTGCTTCACTTTCATTTAGAGGGACTTTGCTTTGCTCCTGCCCCTCAGCATACATTTATGAGACTGAGGTCACAGGTATTCTCACTGGATGGCACGTGAAGGAAAAGGGCAAATAGGGGAAAAAGAAGCCTCAAAATGTTACTTGGTGTGGTCTGATGTCCCATCAGCTCTAGCTCTTTAATAGCCATTAGCATGAAATTGGTATAAACAACGTTTTGGGGTTTCTGTTGCTGTTGTGTTTTTTTTTTTAAAAAGGCAAGAGGTTATACCCAGTAACAAATTTAATGCAAAATTGCAAGTAAAAAAATCAGGGAAGGTTTCTCCTTGTCTCCCCCACCCCTCATCTGCTACGTGAAAAAAGATCTTACCTATAGTACAGTCAACTCTACTAGGGAACCTTGACTGGAAGGGGAATAAAGGAAGAAGACTGGGGAGGCAGGGGGGAAGAAGGGAGGGCAAGTGTTTAATTTTCAAATTAAACTTTAAAACTAAAATTACATGCAAGTGAGCTGAATTTAGGGTTAGGTCAATAAGACATGATTCATACTGAGTGGAGGTTTTTATGACCTGTATGCACTTTGGGTAAACTTTCAACATCTATGTGATTGTGTTCCATGGTTGGGCCAGTGTACCCTACTGGATTCCAGCTCCCCTGGAGTTGAGTGTTAAAGAGACCAGTACATTACTATGAAGAATTGGGCCCTCTTCCTCCTTCCCCTTCCTTCCTGCTTCCCTGGAAAAGCTGTATTTTGGTAATCTCTGGAGAAGAGCACAAAGACAACAGACCTCCCAAGGTGTGGGCTGGTGGAGGAGTAATGGTGGGAACTGGAAGAGATTTCCAGCTAAATGCAACAGCCAGGAAAAGGGTTGGTTCATCATTGTTCTTGAGATGAAGAGCTGGGATTAGGGTTGGGTTGGGTTGGGGAGGGGGGAAATCGTCCGTGAAATATTCCATCTGCAGGTAATTTGTCAGGGAATCCCCTGAGTTACGAAAAGTTCGAGTAAAAAAAAAAAAAAGAAAAAAGAAAAAATCAGCCTATAATAATTTTTTATAATGACTGAACTACTATAAATCCACAAGCAACTGTTCAGACACGGCGCCTCCGAAGTGTTCCATCCCCTCCCCTGCCAGGCACAACTGCATCAAAGGGAGAGATGGCGTGGAACCCCCTCCCCCGCCCGGCTCTGCTCAGGCATCAGGAGACAGAGGCCGTCATTACTGCTGAGCGCCTGCGGTAGCTGGAACTGGCATCCCCAGAGGGTTGGCAGCAGCAATCACTGGCGAGCCTGCTAGAGGTCCAAGTGGTGAAGGGGTTGGCACTGAAGTAATCCCTGAAACCAAATAACAGAGAATAAGTTAGGGATCGTGACAGATGGAAGCTTCTATCACTGGGTGGCATGGAACTTTTCTTCCAAAGCTTGAGACACTCATGGAGAAGACTGGGTTAGCTTTATTAAATGTCAATGAAAATGGCTTCAAGTGACTATGTTTTGGAAACTCTTAAATTAAAGTGGAATTTGGTAATCTGATTCTGTTTGACATCCCCTAGCCTCTAATCAGCATATCTGAAATTATAAGCCTCTCCCAATCAAATAATTTCTAAATGTGGGCTTTATTGTTTTCTCTTTGGTGTCTGACCACACAGTCTCTTTGAATAAAGAGGCTCATATAGAATGCCACATTGTACCAGATTAAAATACAATTTGGAGTCTGTCTCTAGCCCTGCCAGGAGATGTGTGTATACTCACTTTTTCTATTCTACCTGACCCAGTCTAACTCAACTTTATTTTTACCTCTACTATCCCCAAATTCCACTGGAACATAACTTCTTTTTTTTGGCGGGGGGCGGTGGGGTCATGAGACCACATCACGCCTTGCCTGGAACCATTTCTCTAATTTCTCTTAATGTGACACAAAGCCAATGAATGATCTCTCAAAGGCCTTCACAAACATTTAAGAGAAAGTGAATAAATAAAACCTTATGAAAAGTCAAGTTAGATGGTACCCAACTCTCATGCTAATGACCAGTATGAACAAGACAGAGTAAGAGTTTCTGCTCCTGATTTACTAGTATTTGGCCTTGGCTCTAAGCAAGTCTGCTGTTTTGTCCTTGCAACTGAAGGGTAAGCAAGACCAGCCAACAGAGTAAACAAAACAGACAATAAATTCCAGGTGGGACTGAGATCTTGGTAGGTCTCCCCCTTTCCTGAATAGACTGGGTGGCCATCCACCCCCAATCCCAAGCATATGCATTAACAAACAGTAACATTCCCAAGATCAGCGGCTATGGCTTCCTTTGAATAATTTTGTCCTACCTTTTATAAAGGTTCTTCCACCAACTCAGCTAAGGAGGTGGCAACATTGAACAATGAAGATGACGTTTAATAGCTAGGCTCATTCTCAATGTCTGCTCCCTACTAGGAATTATGGAGCCCAAAGAGGGGAATAATACCCAGTGGAATAAAAATACCACCATATCTCTTCCCCTTTCTCTGCTAAATTTTCTATTTCCATTTCTGAAAGTCATTTAATTTTCCCTACCCTTTACAAGTGAGCTGAAGCCTTTGGTAATTAATTACTCCTTTCTAAAGATGATTTATAGGAATCATTTGTTGATGCTAATAACAGCATCCAGAAGGGGAAGGAGGTAAAAATCCACCACTCTCTTCCCTAAGATAAAATACCAGAAGAACTGACCTGACATCATGTTGGCGGTGCTGACAGGAGTGCTGCCGCTTGGCATGTTGGATGTGCCCATCCGAGCCTGGTCCTTCACAATTGGGTCTGTAAAGGAGACAATGTGTTTAAGTTCTGTTTTGTTTGAACACAGTCTGGGGATTTTAGGTATGAAGTTGCAAACTGGTTCTTCATAGTTCTAGAAAAGGAAGAACTATGTCATGCTGCTGAAAGCTATAAGAAGGCAAATTCTGGCTCCATACAAGCTTAACAAATCAAGATTATCCTAAAATATACAAACATTCCCCCATGCTGGAGGTTCTCAAATAGAGACTGATCACATATCAAGAATGTTCTAATTTGGACTATCATATCTGAGATTATATGACTTTTAAGTGATTAATCCCTTAAAAAATTCTTGATATGTTTTGTTTTTACATCTTCCTCATTTCTAAACATCCCGACTCATACCTCTCCTATTTAGCAAGTCCTCTCTTTTAACAAAGATTTTAAGGAGAGAAAAAAAGCTGTTCAGCCAACCAAACAAATCAATTGTGACTAAGAGTTTATACAACATTCCACTCACATTCAGAATCCCCAACCTCTGCAAAAAGGAAAAGAAAGGCATTTTCCCAATCTTCTCAGGAGCTAAGTCTGGTCAAGGCACAGTGTTTAGATTCATTTTGTTGATGCTATTTTTCTTTCTGTTTATATGGGGCATATACGTAGTACAATGGGATAGAGCACTGCACTTGGGAGTCAGGAAGATTCAAGTTTGAGTCCTGCCTCAGTCAGACACCTGGGGAAGCCACATAACTGCTACCTGACTCAGTTTCCTCATTTATAACAGAGATAATAATAGCACGTGCTTCACAGGATGTAATGTGAGGATAAAATGAGAACGTCTGTAAAGCACACTGCAAACCTTAATAAGCTATATAGATTTTAACTTATTATTACATTCTTGTAATCATCTGCTATATTACATATGAGCACATTTATATATGGCAGCTTGGTGTACCTTAGGACTTAGAATTAAGGACCAAGTTTGAATTCTGCTTCAGGAACTTACTAGCTGTGCTACACTGGACAAGTCCTCACAACATTGTGAGGCTGCTATTGTTATTACCTGAAAAATGGGGATAATAACAGTAGCAGCCTCACAGTGTTGTTGTGAGGATTGAATGAGATAACATATAAAGTGCTTTGTAAACCTTAAAATGATATATAAATACTAGCTATTTATTGTCTAAGATTCTGCTTTTCAAATAACTTACTTGTATGATTAAATTTGGAGACACCCTGAATCACATATAAGTAAAATAAAAGGAAAAATTCTTCCACCATTGTTAAACTGTATTGTTAAACCACATGGTATGATTATTTTATGGTCAAGCAGGTCTTTCTAGGCTTCAATAAAGCAAATATTATTCATTTTGGCTAGAACAGTATTTCATAGCACCTAGTATTATACAATTTGACAATTGCTAAATATCTTACATGAACTTAACAGAGATAAGGTGAGTTTTACTGTAATCTAAGGATGGAGGTGTCTAGGGCATGGTGCAACTAAGGCCAACGTTACATATTTGATGTCTGTTTGAGGCCAATTATCTTTGCAAGAAATGAGACAATAGGGGCAGCTAGGTAGTACAGTGGATAGAGCACTGGCCCTGGAGGGGGACTTGAGTTCAAATCCACCCTCAGACCCATAATACTCACTAGCTATATGACTCTGGACAAGTCACTTAACCCCAATTGCCTCACAAGAAAAAAAAAGGATTTGGAGTTGAAGTGTGTAGTGTGCATGTAGCTCAGCAGAGACATCACTATACTACCCTTAGAACAATAATTCCAAAGAAACTATAAACTTGTAGAACATGACAAGTTAGATTTCTGGATGTTATGGAATGTTAAAATCTGGCAGAACTAACTCTTGGGAATACAGGATGTTATAACAAGAAGGGAAATGAGCTTTTTAATTATCTGATATAATCCCTTCATTTTAAAGGGGAAAACTGAGGCCCAGAGAAAGATTGTAAAGCACTTTTGGAAACCTTAAAAGTGCCATATAAATGTTGGCTACTAGTATTACTGTTGCTCAAGGCCACTAGGTAAAGTAATGGCAGAGCCAGGTCTTTTGATTCCCACTCCATGGGTTGTTTCATTCAGATACTGTAGGTAATCATTCTCTTCATATACAAATTATGGCATAGTTTCCTCATCTATAGAGGAAAATGAAGTCCAGGAGGCACAAATGACTTGCAAAAGGTCACAAAGCTCTTGAGTGGCAGAGCCAGTACTAGAGAAAGCTTAGTGAACCTGATTCCTGGTTTGATGATCTTTATTTACACTGTACCAAACCACCTTTATCATTACAGTCTCATGAGAGGAACAATAAATATAATGCCACTAGCTTGTTCTGAACTCTCCTAACCAGTGATCAGATTGCCAAATAAAAGTATAACCCATAAGGACTTTGTTGTTAGGGTGGCAGGAGTCACAGGATTACGAGGGAAAAGAATTTAGAGGGGCAGCTAGGTGGCACAGTGGATAGAGCACCAGCCCTGAAGTCAGGAGGACCTGAGTTCAAATCTGACCTCAGACCAAACACTTGACACTTACTAGCTGTGTGACCTGGGCAAGTCACTTAACCCCAACTTCCTTAACCCCCCCCAAAAAAAAACCCGCAAAGAATTTAGGAGACTTTACTCACAGAAATAAGGGTGTTCCATGGCCTCTCTTGCGGTGAGTCGTGACTGGTGATCATATCGAAGCAGTTTGTCCAAGAAATCAAGGGCTTCTGGACTGACCAGGTGCTGGTTTTCACTGTGAACAAAACGCTCCCATCGCTTACGGGAGTGCCTGAAGAGCAACGAAGGAAGACAACAATTAGACAAGTACAACTGTCAGTGCGAGGTTTCATTTCTCCTTAGAGAACTGGGAGCTGAGCCTGTGGCAAACAAAGTGATCAAAACTAGCAACAGTTGCTATTGGACTCCCAAGGACAGTTTTACTCTATTCTTGCCACTTGCTGGCAACAAAATAAATTGAAAATACGAAGTACATGCTGTTGGGGGGAAGAAAATTTACACATTTCTTGAATCAACAACAATCAAGTTATTTCAGGGGGTCACATGCTACTACATAGGGGAGACTCATGAAATCTGCCCTTTTCTCTCTCCTTCTAATATTAACACTAAATTTCAGCAATGGCTATGTTTATCTCTTGCCCAATGACCATATAGCTCCTAAAGACTCTAACTTTCATTTTAATAAGTGATTATAAGACACTATTATGTAATCCCTAGTGATGAGGAATCAATTTCCTATATGTAAGAAACAGAGTTGTGATTTAGAGCATGTAGTTTCTTTTCCCTTCTTCCTGGACAGTTGTCTATTTTGAAGCAGCAGGTTAAGTGAAGATGAGAATGTGACTGAATTTACTGAGCTTTTAATACAGATTTCATTCACTGAAAATGAAACCAAACAGGGAACATTAGAGCTAGAAGGGGCCTTAAGGATCATTTAGTCCAACCCACTTATTTTAGAGAGAAGGAACCTGGAACTCAATAGAAGTGATTTGCTCAAGGTCAAATAGTAAGGAAGTGATAGTGCTATGCCTAGAACCAAGGGTCTTTTTATTCGTAGTCCAGTGGTCTTTCCGCTCCATTTCCAAAAATAACACCAGTCACTTGAGGGTTGGAAAACTACCATTCAGCCCCAACCACACTTTTAAAAATAGGTTTCCTCTATGTAGTGTGCTGAAGCACTAGAGCAATGTGGGCAACTAGAACCTAACTGTTCTTCCTTAGTCTAGTCAAGATTTCCTTCTGAGGAATAAAAAAAGCCAACCCTCCTTGCCCTAGCCCAACGATGTCTTTCCTTTTCTGACTTACCTGCCCAGGATATCATTGAAACGTGGATCTAGTTCAATGTTGTACTTGTCGATATAGTCATATAAGTCTTCTGTCCCCAGCACCTTTGCTATCCTTACCAACTAAGTTAAATAACAAAAAACAAAACACAACATAAGCATTTGCATAAAGATAAGACTAATCAACTGAAAGGGGATTACCAATTATATTCACTTTCTAAAACCAATGGAGCTACCCACATTTTTTAAGGAAGTGGTGGAAAAAGGCAGACTTTCACACTGACCTGTTAAAAACCAGCTAGCCACAGTATTTACTAGGCAGACTAAACATGGTGCCAATACACACACACACACACAAAATCAGTAACTAATCCTTTCATGAATAAAGACTGCCATAGAACAACTTTGATCAAGCTAGTGAGAATATCAGCATTCAAAAGACTCTTCTTGAGATCTGTGGGTGTCAGTACACATCTTTTCATGATTCCAGATTTTTATCACTGATGGTGGCTCTGTTTTCACTCCAATAGACTCATGAAAGAGAATCTACTTTTACATAGTTAGGAGGTGCCAAAGAATCCTACAAGGGAAAGTGGTTAGGTCCTACTAACATCCTTTCACATGTGTTAGCTAATTTTTAAAAATATATTTTGCTAAAAATCTCAAGTGAATCATATCCCAGGGTCAGATAAGCTACATTTGTGATGCTTAAGATGTTGAGATGCACACCTTTATTTTACAGGTAACAAAATGAATCTACAGAGATCAAGTGATAAATTATTCAAGATCCCATAGCCAGTGAGTGACAAAACCAGGATTTAGAACCCAAGTTTCCCAATTCTCAATCCAGTACTATTTTTTCACTTAACATATCACTTATACTAGCTGTGAGACTCTGAGCAAGTCTATCTGTAAAATGGGGATTATAATAGTACTGAATTTGAAGTTAGGGAAGCTGTATTCAAATACTGGTTCTGCTACTCATTTATGTGACTTTGGACAAGTCACTTTTACTTCTTTGGATCTTATACTTCCTTTTCTGTAAAATGAGGAGGTTGGAGTAGATGATCTCTAAAGTGCCTACTTCAGGTCTAAATTTCTATGACATCTGTACCTTGAGCTACACCTCAAAGTTCTATCAAAATAGCCACCTCACCCCTTCTATAGGAAGAGACAGGACAAGACTGATAAAAAAAATTAACCCTTTAAACACTCAATATAAAATCTGTGAAAATGTTTGGGGAGATATTTCCAGCTGTGCTGCTTGCAAATTTCAGTTCAAGAAATGGTGTTTTCCTGATAGCAAATACATGTCATAGGGTATCACCTGATCATAATTGTCATGTCCATGGAAAAACGGCTCCTTCCGGAAGATCATGCTTGCCAACATACAACCCAAGCTCCACATATCCAAACTGTAATCATACATCTGCACAAAAGAACAGAGAATACAGAAATCCTTTGGCATTGTTCATGATTAATTTGGTTCAATCTTCAACAAGGCTCCTAGGGTTGTGCATTAAGTTTCACTTAAATTTAGAAAGCATTTGATAAATCTAAAATGTCAGCTGACCATAATTTAGTATGGAGGATGGGTGCTGAATTCAACAGATACAGAGTTCGGAAAACAACAAAATGCTAATCTAAAGATTCACATGTATAATTCCTACATTTCTAATTCAGATTTGGTAGGTACTACTGATTTAGTTACAATATCTTATATTATTCCCTTAACCTGACAATCTGGATCCCTCAACCTTTCCATCTCCCCTCTAAGAATTCTGTTCCTGACAAACTGGATTACTAGCTCTTTCCTAAACTTGCCACTTCACACCTCCAGCCTACTCCACGCTTATAACGCGCTGGTTCATCTCCCCTTCTCAAGATCCTTCCATTCTTACAAGTCTTCCCAGATCCTCTTTAGCTGTTAATACCATCTCCTCAGTTTTTCATGTACTGTTATTTGTGTACATGTTTTCCCCCCAGATAAAATGTAATCTTGATAGCAGGGATTTTTTCATTGATGCTTTTGTATCCCTAGCACCTAGCATAGTGACCTGTACATAGAAAGCCCCTCATGTTTGTTGAATTAAAACATATTTAAAGGGCTGCTAAGTCAATTGTGTGATCTAGAAAAAATTACTTTGAGTCTCAACTTCCACATGTGCAGAAAGAGTAAGTGTTTGACTTGATATTTAAGGTCTCTTCCAATTCTAAAATTTTATTACCCTGAGTTACTCGGAGATGAAAGATGCACTAGAGAATACGAAGAACTGTCATGTTGAAGAGTGGTTAGACTTGTTCCTCTTGGCTCCAGAGGTGAGAAGTAGTACCAAAGGTTTGAAGCAACAAATAGGCAGATTATGAAATATAATGAAGAACTTTCAAACAATTTGAGATGCTTGATATTGGGACAGGATGTCTTGTGAGGAAATGCATCTTCAATAACTAGTTCAGAATATTCAGAAATAGCAGGACCCTTAAAGAGCTTCTAGTCAGTCAAAAGACATTTGTTAAGTGCCTACTATGTGCCAGGTATTGTGCTAAGTTATGGAGATACAAAGAAAGGTAAAAGACAGTCCCTTTTTTCAAGAAGCTCACAGCGAAATGGGAGAGACAATACACAAACTACCATGTACAAATAAGCTGTATACAGGACAAATTGGAAATAAACCATAGAAAGAACACATCAGTATTAAGGGGGATAGGGAAAAGTTTCTGTAGAATTGGGATTTCAGGTGGGACTTGAAGCAAGATTGGAGAGGAGGGAGAGATGAGGAGGGAGAGCTTTCTAGGCCTGGGGGACAGTGAGTGAAAATGTGAGGAGTCAGGAAATGGAATGTCTTGTTCTAGAATCACTGAGGAGGCAAACATCACTGGATCACAGAGTAAGATGTAAGAAGACTGAAAAGATGAGGCAGGAGAGAGGAAGTTAAGTTATGAAGGGCTCTGAACACCAAATAGAGGATTTTATATTTGATGCTGAAAATTACAGGGAGTCACTAGAATTTATTTGTTGGGAGTGGGGATGTGTTGTGTGTTGTATGTGACATGATCAGACCTGTGCAATAGGAAGATCATTGTGACAACTAAGTGGATGATGGACTGAAGTGGGGGTGGGGGTGGAAGGGGGACTTATTGCAAGGAGGCCAACCAGCAGGCTACTGCAATAGTCTAGGCATGAGGTGGTGAGTCTTCATCAGGGTAGTGGCAGAGTCAGAGAAGAGAAGAGGTTTTGAGAGATGTGAGCAAGGTTAATTAAACAGTCATAGCAATAGCTTGGATATGGAGAGTTGAAAAAAACAGGTAGGTTGCAAGTTTGAGTGACTGGGACAATGGTGCTGTCCTTGATGTTATTAAGGAAGTGAAGAATGGAGGGTTTGGGGAGAAAAATGAGTTCAGTTTTAGACACATAGAGTTTAAGGTGTCTACTAGACATCCAGTTCTAGATAGGTAGCTGAAGATGTGAGAATGAAGGTCAGAAGTAAGGTTAGGACTAGATGAATATATCTGATAAGTACTTTTGAGAATCATCAGCACAGATAACTGAATCCATGGGAACTGATGAGATCATCAACTGAAATGGTATAGAGGAAGAAGAGCAGAAGACTCAGAGCAGAGCCCTGGGGGACATTCAGGATTAGTAGGTGTGACCTGGACAAAGATACAGCAAAGGACACTGAGAAGTAGCAGTCAGATAGGCAGGAGGAGAACCAGGAGAGAGTGGTATCAGGAAAACCCAGAAAGATGAGAGTATCAAGGTAAAGGTGATTAACATGTCAAAGGTTATACAGAAGAAGAAAGAGGACTGAGAAAAGGTTACCAGATTTGGCAATTAAAATACTATTGCTAACTTTGAAGAAAGCAGTTTCAGTGAAATGATGAGGCTGGAAGCCAGGCTGTAGAGAGCTGAATAAGAGGAAAGGCAGCAGAGGCTTTTCAAAGACTTTAGTCACAAGAGGAAGGAGAGATATGGGATAATTAGGAAGGATGGATAGGATCAAGGAGTGAACAGAGTAGATGTATTTGTAGGAAGTGTGGAAGTAGTTAGTACTGGAGTACCTGGAGAGATTGAGGGTAAGAGAGTAGTAATAAGAGTGAATCAGCTGGAGAAGAGAGGATGGAATGGGATGCATGTTAAAGAAGTTAGTCTTACAAGGAGAAGGGCTACTTCTTCATGTAAGATGGGGTAGATTAGATACTGGTAGAAGGCATCTGAGTGATGTAAGATGAGGTGTAGGGGAGAAGAAGCTCTTAATGAAAACTTTTTTTCTTCTCAGTAAAACATGAGACAAAGTTCTCAGTTGAGAGAATGGTAGAAGAGGGAGCCAAGAGAGGTTTGAAAAGGTTTGGAAGAGCTGCTGTGGTAAGGGAAAAAAAAATTGTCTTGCAGCAGTGAAGACACAGTTGAGTTTGTGTAACATTAATTTGTAGAACCAGTCAGTTTGGTTTTGTGATTTTCTTGTTTTATCCGGCAGCACATAGGTAAGAGTGAAGTATGAGGAGAGTAGAAATACAGGTCTGAGGCTTGGCAGGGGAAAGATAGATGATAGGATAAAGGAGTAAGGGACTCAAGAGAAGAATATATTGTAGAGTTGAACTGGTTCATCAAGGGGTCAAGAGTGGAAAACGAGGAGATTATAGCTAGTGCAGGGTTATGTCTGGGAGAGAACTGAGAGGCTGAGGAATTGGAGTTCTCAGTGTAGGTTAAGAACAGGTTTAAGATTGCAAGACCAGGGAAAGGTAGACTGACAAGCCACTTATTTAAAGAAAAGGAAACCAGAGGCAGCTAGGTGACGCAGTGGATAGAGCTCTGGCCTTGGAGTTCAAATCTGGCCTCAGACACTTGACACTTACTAGCTGTGTGACCCTGGGAAAATCACTTAACCCCAATTGCCTCACCCAAAAGCAAAACAGATAAGGAACTAAAGCTCAGTGGTTTTTATTTATTTATTTAATTACCTGGGGGGGGGGTTGGGGGTTGGGAGGTTCTCAAAAAAGTAAGCAAGTAGCAGAAACAAGGCCCTGAGTTAGAACCTCTGACTCTAAATACAATGCTTTTTCCATCTCACCAAGTACTTTACTTTACATGGGGGATTTATGCATTCAGCAGTCTGAACAAAGTTGAGTATACAACCCTAACACTCTATGTATTTATGATCACTAGGTCAGAGTATGGTGACCAATTTGTGGGTAATCAGGTTTAGTTTTTAACCGGGTAGAAGCAGTAAGGCATCATTACGAAGAACCAATGAAGAGCCATCTGTGTTGGCATAAACTAAAGATGCTTCACATATAATCAACACTCCCAACTTGAGTCTCATTTGTACTTCTCACCTGATAGTCTACGAGAAGCTCAGGACCTTTAAAATACCGGGAAGCCACTCGGACATTATATTCTTGGCCAGGATGATAGAATTCAGCCAAGCCCCAGTCTATTAGTCGCAGCTAGAAAAAAAAAAGGGAGAAATAACATCAATTTGGGGTCTTTGAAAAAGCAACTAAACAAAACAGTCCCCCTCCAAGACAGAGAATAATCAGTAGAGGCAATATAATCTCAAATGATAAAACATCCACCACCGCCATGCCCCAATACACATATGAGAACTGTGCTTGTGAAGAATCAGTTTCTGAATGACAGAAAGTTGAACTGTGCCTTTCCACTTCTGTATGACTCCTTCCCTTCAGAATTACTTTTCAGCCACACTGAATAATCTGCTGCTCTGGATGCCTTCTATGCCTTTGCCCTCACTGTCCTCCATGTCAGGAACAGTCTCATACCACACACCACTTCTTGAAACCCTTCACTAGCTTCAAAGGCCTACATCAGTTCCCACTTTCTCCACAGGCAGTCTTGTTCTTTCATATGGGCAGTAGTCACTTCCTTTTCAAATGTGAGACCCATAATACTTGATGTGAATCTTTTACTTGCACTTGTTACCTTTGCGCATAGGGGCAGACGTGCACAATCTTATTACACATCTTATTACCATTATTACGGTACCCAAAACTCCCCGAAGTACCTAGTGGTGTTCTCCATACTGTAAGTATTTTTAAGGCTGTTTATTTCTATGGCACTAGATACTAGTTCATTACACTAGTTGCCCATCCTTAAAGCATACAACAGATGGGAATTATCACATGTCTCCAAGTAACCAACTTGCTTGGCGCAAGAAACTTAATGTGATACAACTTTTGCCCAAAGGATGACTCAATCAAATATTTCCCAGAGACATGTTTAGTAGGTATTAGCTCACTAATTTGTATTTCTTTAGTTAAAAAGTCTTATGTAAAAAAATTCCAAAGATTTTAATTTTTTTTTCTCTTCAAAAACAACATTTGATGGCAAGAACAATGAAACTAGGAAGTTTTAGGATTTAGCCCTGCCTCTGTTTACTTAGCTGTGTGACCTTGGGCAAGCCACAAGTTCTCTATGCCTCAACTGCCTTATCTTTAAAAGAAAGGCAATGATAACTACGCTGCCTGCTTTATAAGAATATTGTGAGGATCAAATGAAACAATCAACGAGAACCCTTTGTAATAATAAAGATCTAGATAAATATGAGATTAGTATCACTTTATAATTATTTTTTATTTTTAACTAATTTATTTTTAGTTTTCAACATTCACTTTCATAAGCTTTTGAGTTTTCAATTTTCTCCCCCTCCCATTCCTCCTCAAGACGGCATGCAATCTGATACAGGCTCTACATATACATCCATATTAAATATATTTAGCACTTTATAATTTGCAAAACACTTTCATATACTCTTGGTTCTCAAAACAACCCTGTAAGTTAGGCAGGTCAGTATTATTAAATGCACTATACATGTAAGGAAATGGAAGCACCAAAAAAGTAGGCTGGATGACTTGATCTCACAGATTTTTACTGACAGATTTGGAATAAGAACCCAGGTCTTCCGATTCCTAGCTCAAAACTCTTTCCTGTTCACCACACTGACTCTCTTCTTAGATTTTTATCCCCAGCAACGATGGCTTCAACATGTTGCAGTTGAAAGTGGATGTTGGAGCTGATAAAAACAAATGAAATCTTAGTCTGCTGCTTTATACCTTTCTGTGTTCGTGATCGATCATGACATTATGAGGTTTAACATCTCTATGCATAATCCCCATGCTATGACAATAGTCCAGGGCCTGCAGAGAGAATGTATAAAAGAAGAAAAGGATCAATCTATGAAATTACATTGCTAACTTATATCTCGGTTCAGTTCTAGAAGCCCAAGTGTCCACTATTGTATTCCTATCAATTTTCATTCTCATGAAGTCTTGACACTTCTAGGAAAAATAACCTATAAGTAAACAACTACTTCTCTGTCCTGGAAGTGCTACCCTTCAATAGTTTTCACACAGACCACCTGAATGGTTTATCTTTTTCGGCAGTAATCAAAATCATAGAATGTTAAAATTGAAAGAGAACACAGAGCCTCTGAGTTGAAAAGGACCTTAGGATAATGAAAATGTCAAAGCTCAAAGTAGCCCCAAGAACATAGAGCCAAAGGAGAGCTCAGGGGCAGCTAGGTGGCGCAGTGGATAGAGCACCGGCCCTGAAGTCAGGAGTACCTGAGTTCAAATCCAGCCTCAGACACATAACACTCACTAGCTGTGTGACCCTGGGCAAGTCACTTAACCCCAACTGCCTCACTAAAAAAAAAAAGGAAAGCTCAGAGGCCATGTAGTCCAATCTCCTGTCATTGTACAAAATAAGAAAACTGAAGCCTCAGAAAGAGAGCAGGAGGTGGGAAAAGGATTAAGGGGAGACATATTAAAACCGAGAATCTTCTGGTTGCTAGGTCTAGTACTCTTTCAACTATACCACATTTATAGCCCCTATACCTTAGTTTATTCAAGGACAACATTGTAATTCTGATACATATACACGCACTAGCTTTGTGCATTTGGCAGCATTGTGACTCTGACAGATACTTATGCTCCTAAAAAGGTTTATATTTAATGAAATAATTCATATTTCCAAAATATTTCAAGGTTTGCAAAGGACTTTTCTTCACACCACCTCACTTCTAGTCTAGTGAGGTATACAATGCAAGTATAACCTGCATTTTTAAAGATGAAGAAATTGTAGTTGAGAGGTAAAGTAAATTTCATAAATGTTTCAAAGTAAATTAGTGGCACAGCCATGTCATGAGAACCCACGCCTTTTGACTCCAAGAGCAGAAACTTCACACTGTCTTCTTAAGTAAAAGAAATACTGTTTTCAATCAAGAATCTGCCACATCACAACGTAGCTGTGTCCAAAACTAAGGTGTAGAGGGTTATAACCTTTGGAACTTGCCAGCACAGCTAAATCAGCTGACAGGAGTTGCTCAAATTATTGCCCTTTCTGAAGGGCAAACTGAGATAACACTCCTCCTGGGGACAAGTCTAGTATATTTGTAGCATATTGAGGCCTACAATTTTTGCCTTTCTTTTTATCCACAAAGCTTATTATAACAGTGCCTGGCACGAAGGTACTTAATGAATGCTTGCTGACTTGACATGATTTGACAGTAGAATGAGAGCATTCTAGTTCTAGAGAAGAAATGGGAATATCCATTTCTTTCCCCTTTTTAAAAGCGAGGGACTATGGATATGCAATAGTATACAAACTTTTTTTTTCCTTTTTAAAATCTTTGTGTACAGAATCACTAGTTGAGTTGGAAGAGACATTAGAGACTATTTAGTCTATTCCTTTCATTTTGCAGGTAAAGAAACTGAAGCTGAGATGGGGGGAAAGAGTGTAAAAGTCCTTGCCCATGGTTATACAGGTAGCAGCAGTGTCTGGATCTGAATGCTGGTCCTCTGATCTAAAGCCAGTGTTCTGTCCATTACAATGATCTCCCTTGATATCACTTGTCATGTTCTGTTTACCACAGTTGTTAGGTCAATCCTCACTGGACATAAAAAGAGACAGTCATATCTTTTGAACTAATAAGAGTTCTTAGATCTATTGGGCCTAACTTGCGACTAAGTACTTTAGTAACTTAATTTTAAGAATCAAAGTCCACTATCAATCAACATGCTCCAAGAACAGGTTTAAATAAACCATGGGAAATGATCTCTTAGTAACTGGACAGTAGGTAATCTGCTCTTGATTTGCCTGATAACATCCTTTGAATGAGTGTGGGGGGTGTTTATCAAATAAAATTATGAAAGGGCCTACAATTTTAGCCATAACTAGCTTTCCTAATCTTGAAAATAACATTTTTAAAGAATGAATAAAATATAGTGGAGATCATCAATATATATCACATGTCCCAGATCCCTCCCAATTGCCTTGTTCCAGCCCAAACCATATTGCTCACTGATTTAAACCTTCCAAACCTACCACAACCCACGCTCTTATGACAATCATTTTAATGATATTCCACCGAAAAACCTACTAAGGAAAATAAGATTATATAAAAAAGGCAATTTCTTAAGAATAAAGACTGTATCTTACCCATCTCCATACCTCCAATGACACTCTGCACAGTATTTCACATACAGTAAGTGCTTAGTAAATGTTTGGTTCAATTTGGAATTGAATCTCTTTAGGCAGTTACAAAACCGGTTACTATTCCTGTGGCTTGATAAAAGAACCTCTAACAAAGGCTTACATCAGGTGCTATAATATGGCATAAAAATGATTCTGAGGTCTGAAAAGCCATGCCTGTTGGGCACAAGGTTTGGTAGGTCCTACACTAACATGCAAAGGCTTGAAGGATGCGCAAGGAATAATAAACTGTGCACCTATCATCCAAAGACCAATCTAGGTTAGTAAGGACAGGCTTATCACCAGAAAGCTGAATACCAACTGATGAGTTTTTTTGGCCAAATTCATTAAATACTAAGTCTACCAAAGGCCAAGAAGGGGTTGGGAGCTGCACCATACTCATCCCAACAAAATCAGTGATATATCTTATTGTTTTATAAAGTTCTCACAGTACCACTTAGTACCATAGAAAAGATTCCTAGGCCAAATTTTTTGTTCACTTAATATTTTAGAGTAAATTCACTAGTCTCAACACGACCAATCAAATACATGGAATCAAAGAATCTCAGTTAGAAGGGACTTCAGAGGTCATACAATTCAATTCCTGTAACAATGCCTAACAGTCACCAAGTCTTTTCTTGAAAATCTCCAGTGAGCCAGTTAACTCCACCAGTAGTACCTCTAATTGTTACAAAGTTTTTCCTCATATAAGGCCAAAACCTGCTTCTTAGCAACTTTCATGAGAACTGAAAAGAGGAAGAGGGGAGAGAATACTAAAGTTTGGAAGACTTGTTTTTTTAAAAAAACTTATGTGTTTTCTTATAGCTTCTCGATTTATGTACAACAGTTGGGCAATTAAGAATTTTAGGAACACTTTCAGGATGGTCTTACTTTCAGCAACAGAAGTCATCTGAATATAATAAGCTTATTCCCCAAATCACCATCAAAAGTCTTACCTTCAAAATCTCATACATATAAAATCGAATATCATAGTCTGTTAACGTCTGGTACAATTGCTGTTGAAGACAAATACAATAACTCAGGATGAAGTAATGCCAATAGGAAGGTAATTTCTCATTCTTGTTTCTAGTAATTCAAACTGAGTCCTACTTTGAGAACTTTCCAAAGCACCATTGTTCCAGTCTCACTGACTTACTGGTCTTGCTTTCTCTCATCTAAAGTTCACAATAAGGACCCTTTAGATTCTTAACCCAGTACGTAAAATGAAGAGGAACTATTTAGGCTCATTATGTGGCAGAAATACATAATGGACTACTACAGATGGATTAGACTTTGGAAGTGATAGCCCAATTCCCTTCATTGTACCAAGAAGGAAACCAAGGCCATGGGAAGTGATCTGCTCAAAGTCATAACTGAGATGTAAACAAACCTAGAATTCCCAGCTCTCAGTTCAGTGCTCTATCTACTATACTACACTGATCTCCTCCTTATAACTGTGATATACTAGTAAAAAGCTGTTGAGCACACACAGTATCACTTCAATAGGGAATATACAATCCTTGGTTTATACAGCCAGCACTGCAGATTATCATCCAACATGTAGGATTAAAATGGTGCCAAACACGCAGAGCCAATTCAACTGTGCTTTTATCCTAGTCCCAATTCAAAAGCAAATACAGCACAATCTGATAATGTCTTCTTCAGTTTCCAAAGAGCTACAGACTTTTTGGGTTGTCTAGCAAATGGATGATGATGTGCTAAGAAGGTTTTTCCAGGTATTAATAATCTGATTCTAAACAAAATGTTTCTCCCTTTTTTTTTTGTCTGCCAAAGGAAAATTTTGAGATTCAACATTACTGTTACAAGAATGATGTGAAATATGAAATGCATGTCAAATGTCTCTATAACTCCAAAATTCTCTAAGCTCCCATAGTCTAGACAAATTTTGGTTGTTTTGTGTAAAAGTCCTATTCTAACAGCATTTGATCTATTGTCACATTAAGTTTAAAAGTTATTTTAAAAGCTTCAGAGCTTTTTGGAAGTTCTTCACAATTATCTTAAGGTAAGAAGAGCTTCATAATTATCCTAAGGTCTCCAGGCCACAGGTTCCCCACCCCTGTCCTAAGGCAAAGAAGACCCTTGCTTGTTTTTAAACACAATAATGTGTTCTTAGAAACCACATCTCAGAGTAGATCCTAACTAAGCATGCAGTATGGCTTTCTTCTGTTAAGACATCAGGGGAAATCTTTTAGCAAGTGGATCAGAGTGGTGAGATACGAAGTACAGATTTTTGTTAGGCACTATCAAATGAATAGAGTGGCAAAATACAAAGATTGTTAAGTTTTTACATCTTAAAATATACTATGTCAAGATGATACGCTCCCTCTTAAAGCAACTTAGATGCAGGCCCTTCTGATGGCATCATTTCTAGTTAAAAGTCATGTAACAGATGGAAAATCAAGAACTGAAAAGGTCTGTCACATATTATACCTTGAAGTCTGTGTTGTTTACGTGTTCAAAAACCAAGGCAGGTGTTCGTGACTGGGGAAAAAAAGAAAACAAAAATTAGCAACAACACTGAAATCTTTGACTGGTACAGTGTTTTGCAGGCTCTTTGTGGTGAGTTTGGCAGTCTCGGCCTCAGCCTCAGTAGTAGAAAACCCTCTAGTGCTAAGATCCCTCCCCCCTCAGATAATCACCACACTTAGGTAATTTCTGGGATGGATTCAGACAGAAGACATGGAGCTGAAGTCTCACCAGGCTCTAGGCAGCCCAAAATGCGTGCCCATCTGCATCGGACCTGAGTTTGCAAAATGGATTAACACATTTCAGTTTCCAGTGCTATCAGTCTCTTATCCTAGAAGAATAAGAAATAGTCTGTGGGTGGAGGTCTCTTTGAAAGAAAGAAGCTAATCTGATTAAATGGCTGATCTGATTAAGCATTTCAAAAGTAGGACTTAAGGGCAGAGGCAAAAACAGAAAGAAGCCAGTTTTATTCAAAGTCAAATCCAACCTCAGCAGGCCTTGCTAACATCTACCATACTCACCACGGGGTCTTTTACTATATCTGCCAGCGTGATTATATTGGGGCCACCTCGCAGATTCTCCAAAATCTTTATTTCACGCTTGATTTTCTTCTTCTTTACAGGCTAAAAAGGGGAGACAGTCATGTTAGTAAAATATGATATTCAAGAGTATTTCAGTATATAAAAAAGATGTACAAAGATGTGATTTACCATGGTTATATTCAGATATGCACACAACAGGACCGTTATGGTCACAGCAGCATAGCTTGCATGGAAATGGCTATGGTTTATAATACACTCTCATGAAAATCCAATGCAATTTTAACCATTCTTCTTTGTAAAAGTTTAAAAAGTAAAAATTTAAAACAGCAGCTGAAGTTAAATGCCCCCTCTCTCCAAGCTATTCTCAAAGTCCCTCACAATTTAAACTCATTGGTCTTGAATTCAAAGCCAACGTATCCATTGTAACTAGAATCACTAATTAACAACAAAGGAACCCTCTGCCATATAGCTGTATTTAGAGGACAGTGAATAAATCATTCCTATTTCTGCCTAACTACATGATATTATCATCTCTCCAACTCACTTCCTCTTACCTGAATCCTATCCATCTTTGAGGCCCTGGTCTAGACCCTACTGCTTCCTTCCATGAATCCTTTCCTGATTATAATACTAGAGTCACATAATCACATAATTTTTCAATTGGAAGAGGCCACAATAGCCATCTACTCTTACCCATAATTGATGCCCTCTTTTTCTTCTTAACCTCAGCAACATTGGTCTATATAGCCTTTATTTAGCATATCTCCTGTACTGCCTTCAATCAACACATTTATTAAGCACCTACCATGGGCTAGGCACTCTCAAAAATGAGACTGTAGTCTCTGTCCTCAAGAAACTTGCATCCTACTATAAATACTCATTTTTAATGACTTGTTTGCTTTAACTACTCTTGTTACTCTAACAACATTAACTTTTTTTTGTAATTAGACGCTTGTTTTTACTTCTTTACAAGGTTGTGACTTACATATTCTAGGCATTCCATAAATAAATATCAATTCTTTTTTAAATCAACTGACCCAGAAGCCCGGGTTCACGGTCGTTTTCTCTCTCTCTCCACACTCCCCCCCCCCATGCATACTTGGGGGAGAGTGTGTGAACATGTGTTATACAAAAATTCCTCACCCCCAAAACATTACTCAGGAACCTCACATCTTACATATCTGGATTACTAACACAGCCTCTAATCTGTCTTCCCGTTTCTGGTCTTAACCTTTCAAATCCACTTTGTCAACTGCAGCTAAAACACTATTCTCCTTTTGTTAACACACCTACCCAGCCAGAAAATTTTGATTCCTAGCTGTGTAGAATATAAAAAATACAGAATTTTAAAACTGGAAGAGAATTTGGAAGTCATTTGGTTCTTCCAGAATACCTCTCCCCAGCTGTTTTAATCCTACCAGCTTTTTAAGGCCTAGTTGTGAAGCATTTCTTGCTCCCAGCAGCTAGAAATGATTTCTCTTTTCTGTAAACTTTCGCAATTCTCTTCTTTCTCTTATTCTAAAATGTTCATCTGACCAGTTAATCAGTTAAATTCCCAGAGAACAAGAACTGTATTTAAAACTTTTTTGCTGTTCTCTATGTATCAACATACAGAGAAATAATACTGGTTAGTATGGAAGCGTAAGTTATTAAAAGCTGGATTCTAGCTTTGGTTCTGCTACTAACTAGCTAGTTGTGACCTCAGACAAGACACTTACACCCACTGTACCTCAAACAATGAAACTTGCTTTACCTACTTCACATAGTTATTAGAAAATAAGACCAGTATAAAAATATAAAAATACATTGAAAAGTCACAAGTCATTTATATAAATTCAAGATATTAATGCCTATTTTTTCCCTACTACTAAAACAGTAACAAGAGACCCCATTTCAAATTATCTCTGAATATTAAAAATTTCTCCCTTCACTTACCTTGAGAATTTTAACAACTACTTTTTCATTATTTGTGATGTTGATGGCTTCAAATACTTCACTGTATTTACCCCGGCCTAACTTTCGAACTAGTTGATAGTCGTCTTGGTTTCTGCAAACAAAGGACACCATTAGCCTCAAAAGACTCCACATTTATTTACTACCAAGAAATAGTCTGCTTATGAGGGCCTATCTCTTCTAACCAGGGAAGGAAGAAAGAGGTTTTAAAAATGACTGTACCTATATCTGCATTTGTAAAAACCCGGTAAACTGTGAAATGTATCCTTTTGTTTTTTGTAATGTACATCTTAAAGGACAGCCCCATTTAAAGCCTAGAAAGGAAAGAAGAAATTTTTGGTAGACTATTCTGTAGTTCATGAACCACAGAGACAGGTCTTTTCTTCTACTTTATCACAAACTAGAGGTTAACGATACATTCATTTCTACTGTTTCCTACTCTGGATAATTTCGCTCCATAAAAGTACCAAACAGGTCTCTTTTATGAGCACTAAAGTTTTATTCTAAAAGTCAACTAAATAGTTAACTGGCCACCTATTTTATTCAAACAATTAAAAGGGACCCAGACATAATGGGAAGGCCTGAAGTACTACGAATGTATATAAATGTGAAAATGATAACTGCTATGGAATAAACGCTTTACAATTTGGACAAGTTAAGCTTAGCTGTCCCATTTCTACTCTTCTATAAACATATAAATGAAGGAATTCAAGGAAACTAAATGGCAGTATGCCAAAAACTTGAAAGAGATGTTTAGACATTTAAATAGGACTGAGTCCAAAGCATTCTTTAAATTAAGATAGTGCTCAAGGTTGCTGTAAGTAGAAATACACGTATTCTCTAAATTGTGCTTACACTCAGGGTATGACCTGATAAATATGGACCACTTCGAGGAGGAAATGGGTACTACCACCATTAAACAAGCTGCACTGAATGACACTGTAACTGCTCCAGTGAACATTTGGGTCAAATTCCAAAGACATAGTCTTCTGACAAAATGCATTTAGGCATTTTATTTTGTATTTCATAAAAAAGGGAACAATATTCAAGATTTACCTCAAAATCCTGAAGGGTGGGAAAAAAAGTTCTCTATTCCCAAGAGTACCTTGGACAAGATTTGGGGGTTTCCTTAATATATCTAAGTACCAATTGTTACACTATTCTCAAAATTCTTTGGGTTAATGAAGTATTTCCATAGAAGTCTAATTTGCTTCACATCTAACAGTTACACCTAAGGTAAATGCTTTATGCCAGAGAAAAGAATGCTAGGATTCATTGTTTTTTAAAATAGTGAGGCCATTGAAACAAAATTATTTCTTCAAGACAGTAACAGAATTTGCAAACCTAAGAGACGTATGCAAGCTGGGACACTGGCCTCGACCCTGATGTATTACAGCTGCACAAACAGGTAGCTTTCCAGACATTACAAAGCCAAATCCAACAAGGTTCAGGGCCTTTGGGAGAATAAAGTGAAGCAAGTGGAGACAATTACCCCCATTCCACCACATGTGACTCGTAGTCCCAGTACTCCCGGGGTCTGTGTGTGTTAACATCAGTGTAAACTCTGGCCCTGCTTGGCACGGGTCCCGACATGTCAGACAGGTTGGCGGGCAAAGCTGGACTTGATGTTAAAGTTCTGGTAGTCACTTAATTCAGAGCCAACTAGGGGTAAGGCCTTGTTTAGACCCCTTGTTTTCTCCAACTGCAGAAACAAAATGAACAAATGATTACTTAAAAAAATGTAATGGGGAACTGAGGGAAGGAATGGCTCATAAATACCATTCTTTGCAATACCTCTAACTCTATGACTTAGCAACAAATCTCTCTTAAATGTATCAACCACAGTACTTATTGCTGTATGAAAATCCAAACTATCCTTAAAATGATACAGTTTTTCCCATATTATGAAGGATCATTTGAGACTTTGGCAAGGAAATCTTGGATGTCTCATGTTTCCAGAAAAAAAAGGATTTGGTATCCAACCATTCAATATTTAAACATAACTATTATGGCTTATTAGCACACATATGGTGCAAAGATAAATAAAAGGCAGTATCCACTCAAGTAGTTTACAATTTAACTAAGGAGAAAAGTTATGCAGATCAACAGAAATTTTTTAAGTGTCTAAGAAACACAGAAAATACAGTGAGAACAGAAGAGGGAAAAATAACTTGGTGGTGGGTAAAAATCAATGAGTAATCCGGTTTGTCTGTAACAAAGAGGCAGAACAGAAGGTAAGTCTACATAGGTAGGTGGGGTCACATCACAGAGGACCTTTCAAAAATCACACTAAATACTTATCTAACCAATAAACAATGAAAACATAGAAACTTTTTGACCACTACAGAAATATGCACAGTAAGAAGACCAACATGGAAGGATCAGATGCACCTACTTAGTAAGACCCAAAATTTTATACACAAGTTATCTGTTAAGGCCTGGAATTTTTACATCAGTAGATGCCTTTCCAGGGTAGATGCTCAAAGTTAAAGGTACTATAGAGGTACCAAAGGATCAATGTACTAAATAAAGGTACACTGATTATTGAGATTACAGTACTTTCTTAATACTTGCCAAAAATTGAGCTAAATCACTCCCTTTAGCTGGAACTAAAAAAAAACTGTTCCTACACTGAGTGAGATATTAGTTTAATACTATTGTTTTGCGAACCTCATACAGTAATGATAAACATCAGCAATCATCAATGCCACTACTGTAATCCAAGCAACTGACTCATTCCATTTTACCAACTAGCACTTGAAAATAAAAATAGAATTTCAAAATTAAAATTAAATTTTGTTTTGTTTCATTCAGTGTGTGGACTCAACTAGTTATGTGGTCTAAGGTAGAGAAAGTAATATTACCTATACACCTACTCAGTACTTATATACCACTGTCATCTTTATCTTACTCGTGTACATACCTTATTTCCCTAACTGGATTACTAACTTTCAAAGAGAAAGAAACAATGTCAGACATATTGGTATTCTCCAAAGAAGTAAGCACAATGTTATACACACAGTAGGTTGTCAATAAATCTTTTAAGTGAATAATATTGCCTAGGACAAATAGCTCTATAATCTATTTCTCATAGAATCACATTCAGAGCTGGACAGAACCTTGCAAGGCATCTAGTCCAACTACCTCCTTTTAAAGATGAGGAAACTGAAGGCCCAAGAGCCAAGCAACTTGCCTAGTAGTAAACGACAAAGACAGAATTTGGACCCAAGTTCAATGAAATCTTAAGTTTTTAGTACAACTGTGAGGAGGTAGATTAGAAATCAATTCTACAAAAGGAAAGTTGGGCTCTGTGTTAGGTCTACTCCAGCCATTTCCTGAAACTTCCTTCCTTTTAAAAAATTATACTTAGTTTCATCTACAATCTTGTTCTCTTTTTTAAATACTGAATTATTATACTCATAATAAAATATAAAATAAAAATATATTCAAATCACTTATGTGGTCAAAGGACAGACATAGATATAGGACTACAAGGATGGTTAAGTGATGTGCCCAAGGTCACAAGCTATTAAGCAGCTTAACTCAAACTCAAAGAACAAAATATCTCTGTATTCATAAGTACTTTCCTTCCAAAGGAGCCTGTCTTTACAATATACCAGCTACCAAATAGTCTGATGAGCCAGTAAGCATTAACCAGTGCCTGGCTTTTCACTGGCTTAAGTGAAACAAACACAAACTATCCAATTTACATTGCAGATGCTGAAGATATTGCTACACTAACTAGCACTGCCATTCCTAAAGGCAGGAAAAAAACCTAACCAATCTTTGTGGACCCACCTCCTCCCTTCCCTCCCTCAACAAGAACCACTAAAGCCTCAAAACCTTGCGCATTCACTTATAAACTCACTCATCTGAAGGAATACCATCTCCTTCCATGGACCCTATACAGTTACCGGGTATTGACCAAAACACAATCTATGATCTTTGTAGTCCAGCACACAGGTCTGTTTTGCTTAAAATATGTTTTCTCTGGTTCCTACCTGCCATTTATGACACTAAATTTGGTGGCTTTAATCTCACAGACCTTGACCTATTGACAAAAAGCCTTTAAAAAAAACTTCAGAACAGGAAAAATAACTGTCAAGCTATTTCCTAATTGAGAAATTTATAGGACATATAGAAATGTACAGGACACAAAACAGAAATGAGCATCTATTCCCCAAAACCTTGGCTACTCAGTATATACTGGAGCTTGACCTATGACAGAGTTATCAATACAATATTCCAATTAATAAAAATAATACAATGCATTTATATAGTGTTTGCATTTCACTGTTTCACTGATCATCACAACAATCTTGTGAAGTCCTAAAGACAGGATATTATAATCTCAAAAGGAAAAATGGGGGAAGGGGAGAGGGAAAGGGAATAGAAAAGAAATAGAAGCCAAGTCTCCTGGCTGCCAACTGAGGACACTGTCCATTTCCTTTTTTCTCATGAACTTAGTCAACAGAAAAAGAAAATAATGAACTTATGAACACATGAAATTATGAACTCCTATTACATAGTTTTTTAAAAGTAAATATTAAATTTAACAAAGTAGTAGCAAAATTGCCTTGTTCTCTTCTGAATTCCTTTGTGTTTTCTATTACGTAGTTTTAAAATGCTTTATTTACACTCTTTTCTTCCTTTTTCATTCAGTCTCTTCTAGCACTAAACAAACAGCCAACGAATGCAAGAGCAATGATTTAATGATTTTCAGGGTGAAAACTGAGGAATCTTTCTCTGGAAAGAACAGTGGAATTTTAGGTGAGGTCTTGATGTGGTCAAGACTGGGTCAGTGTATTCTAACTTACTTTTTCTACAAGGGAGGTTTTTATATAGAAAGACAGTCATTGAGATGTGACATTGTTATAAAAAGAAAACTTTTTAAAAATTCTGAACTAAAAACATCAAAAAAGAGCATCTCCATATACACAGAACATAAAGATTATATGTGAACCTGTGAGTCATTTCATAACTTCTTTCTTTAAAAAACTATACAATAAATTCCACAAATTACTTCTAAAAGTTTGTTTTGCTTTCCACTATGCCCTTCCTGGCATTATCTTTCCACTTCAAGTCCTATTCTCCCTAATACCTACTTCCACCACACTGTCTGTATGTATTTAATCGTCCTCCGATCCCCTCCCAATTTCTCCTTATACACTCTAAATTTTGAGAAATATAAAGTCCTACCCCTTTGTCCCTATTTCTATACTAATGTATCCCTTTGACCCTTTCACTCTTTTCTTCTCTTTAAACCCTTGGAACAAAACCAATCCCCTCCCCTGGTACTGTTTTTCATATTTAACTACCTAATACCCTTTGAAGACATTAAGGTTTTGACATTTGTCTCTTCTCCCCAACTAGAATGTTAGTACTTCATACAGCTCCTTCTAAATGCTCAAATAAATTCACCTTTCTAGTTTTCTCCACTTATATTTGTATTCAGGACTAGTCTTTAATTAGAAACACCTGAAAGTCCTCTATTTCATTCCGCTACCCCCTATTATACTTGGCTTTGCTGGTTAATTTATTCTTGATTATAAGCCTTTTCTTTTTTTTGCCTTCTAGAATACTGCATTTTAATAGTTCTCATTTAAGTAGAAGCTGCCAAGTTTTGTGATCCTGACTGGTTCCTTGGTGTGTGGAACTTCTTTCTGGATGCATGCATTACTTTTGATGTGGCAGCTCTAGATTTTGGCTATAATGTTCCTGGGGCTTTTCCTTTTAGAAGGTAATTGGTGGATTCTTTCTATCCTCACTTTGTCCTCTGGTTCTACTAGCTCTGGGTAGTTTTAATTTATGATTTCTTATAGTCCTAGGATTTTTTTAAAATCATGCTTTTCAAGGAGTCCAATGACTCTTAAATTATGTCTCCTTGACCTGCTTTCCAAGGTCAATTGTTTTCTAGGTCAGTTTTAATATCAGACTTCACATTTTCCCCCCCTACGTTTCAATCTAATTTTCTCCTAATACTTATTGCCGTTTCATAGAACTACTCATTTCAGTTTGGTCTATACTACTTCTTAGAGAGCTTGTTACCTGGTGAGGTTTGCCAAGTTCTCTTCTAAGTTACTTATTCTCCTTCCAATTTTCCTCCAGAGCTTTTACTTCATTAAAAACAAATAAAAAACCCACCTCTTGTCTGATTTTTCCCCCCTAGGTATTAATGTAGTACTTATGGAAATTCCATTTTCCCTTTGAGCTTATGCTTCTGGTTAAGAGTTACTCTCTCCTTTGATGGGAGAGGGAGTCTCTATATTTGTAATAATTTTTTATGTAGTTTGGTCTCTTAGTTTACTCATCTCTCCACCTTTAGAAATGGAGCTTTGTGCTAGAGCCAGGTTCAGACCTCTGCTTAACTTCACCTTTGGGTTACTAGGTTCTTGTACCAACCTCTACCTCCCAAGATTAGGACCTTCCGGGTCCAACCTTTAAGGTTCAAAGTACTGGATCTTCTAGGCCCTCTATAACCCTCAAGCCAGAGTGCGAAGGACCTTGGAAACCCTGAGGCCCTGAGCTTTCCTGGTCTAAGTCTCAAGAGCTGAACTGATCCCTAAAACTCCCTAGGGCTTTCAAGGTCTCCATCTTGGAGCTTCCTGTAGGAGGGTGGAGAAGGGTCTCCATTCCTACTGCTCCCAGACACGAGCTTTGCTGGCCTGTCAGCCTGTACTTGTAGCTCTCTTTCCTACTGCC